ATGTAGTATTAACTTTTTGAGTATTTTAGTTCATTAATATAGTTGTTCATTTTCCATGCGTTGAGTGTATTTATCTTGATATTAATGCTTGTTTTTACTTTACTGAGAATGATTTATAATTTGGGAACTTAGGGTGAGTTGAGAAACTACCTTAAGACCCAGTTGGAATAAACTCACACAATAGGTTAAGATTCTAGAAATAGATGTTAATTTATTGTATGCTTGACAACTCTTGATATTAAAGTTGAGTTACTTGTTGTTTGGGTAAGGAATTATCATTCAATAAATATATTTTAGAATTTCGGGTAAGAGGAATCCAATGAATGAATAAAATAAGAGTGCACCGTAAGTCTGTGGTATTTGTTCAAACTATATTATGACTAAAATAAGAAGTTAGTGATAGATAAAATTTGATCCCTGCTCTTTATTATCATAGTAAATTTATATTTTTTCATCTTGCTTAATTTTAATGAATCCAACCAATCAAAACCAAATGAATTGTAGTTGTAAATTTGTGAATATTTAGGATTGTTAATTTCAATTGGAATAACTAAAAATACTTGTGTATCAACACTCCCCGTAAATATAACAATCTTTTATAATATATCAAAAACTTGGTATACTTGCCAAAATTCTTAACAATCTAACTTTGGAAAGCAATATTTGTTAAAAACGTATTATATTTTTTTCTTTCATAACATGTTCAATTATATATAAATTATTTGTTAAACTCAATTTATTTAGTTAACAATGTCATGTTCTCATGCTAAAGAAACTTTTTTGAGTAACTTTTGTTATAGGTTAACGTGATTTTAGGTGCTAAATAATTTTATTTAATCAAATTGCTAGATTGTGTAATATTCTTAGTAGTTAATTGTGAAATAATAATATTAATATTTTAAATAAAAATAGGCTATATTAAACTTATTTAATATATTTATTTTAAAATGTTAAAAATTATATTCATTTTATATTTTTAAAAATAATATTTTTTGGGATCACAAATAATTTCTGATGTGGCAGATTTTTGAAGAAGCTAATATTAAAGGGGGTTTGCCTATTAGTGAGAGGAGAGAAAACAAAGATTGATTGGGTCCTAATATTGATTGTTAAATAATAAATATTTAAAATAATTCTGAATTAATGTTTTATTATTAACTTTTTATTTAACAGAATTTAGTTAATAGTAAGGAATAATTTTTAATAAGGTCAAAAGATTAAAAAATATATATATTTTAACACTTTTTTTTTATAAAAACTAAATTTAAATGGTATAACTTTTAAAATTTTTATTTTTAATTGAGATAAATATTTGTTATAATTTAAATATAAATATTAATGCACAGTTTAAACAAATCTTCCACATAATAAAAAAATTATCTACTTGTTTTAAATATTAATTAATTTTTAAAAGAAAATAGTTAAATATAAATTGAAAAATAAGAGAAGGGGATTTAATCTATTTTCAAACATGAATTTTTTACTCTTTTACAAATTGATAGGATTTTTCGTATTAGTAAGTTTAGAAAATCAATTGTATTAGAAAGAAGAAAGAAGATAAAGGACTTAGTAATTTATACTAATTCATCTTAACTATTAGGGTTACGTCCAGTCTTTGATTTAAGATCAAAATTTTTAATATTTTTTACAAAAATTTACAAGATCAAGTATTATGGTAAAATCCTCTTCAATCTCAAATAATCTTAAATATTTTTAAATGTTTCTTTAAGCGATTACACTTTTAAGTATTTTTTACATTTCTTTAGGATTATCTAAATAGTTAAAAAATCTAAATTAAACACTGAAATAAGGACTTTCAAAGTTTTAATAATTAAAAAAAAAAATACATATAACAATATCTCTTGTCTTCTACAAGAATGTTTGTCTTGATTATATAAACCTATGATGATATATTTATATTAAATACATTTATCTATATGTTAATTTAATGGAATTTTTTCTGAAAAATTATATGATTTGTTTAGGTTTTCTACAGAGACAAAAGTGTCTTTAGTTTTTTTTATCCTCATCTTATTGTTGTTTTGATGATTTATGTAAAAATGAAAAAGAAAGATGTTTTTGTTTTCTTCTTTTTTTTAATCTAATCATGTTTTTATCTTTTTCAAATGAATGTAACTTTGTTATTCTTAGCGATAGTTTTACTTTGATAGTCAACTGCTATTGATGTTTTTATATATTACTTTCTTCTTAGAATGGTATGTTCTTTTGTCAATATTTCAAATGAATCATCTTACAAATAATACTGACACACTTGATCATATTGTTAAATAAATCATATACCTTATATTAAAAACTTTTCAATCATCAAAAGTTAAACAAGACTTTTGATCTTTAACATAAATACTGATTGATGTCTTCCTTGGTTAAATAAAAAGTAATTTAAATGTAAGTTGTTCTCTCGATGAAAAGCAATCTAAGTTGTTTTCTCAAGAACTGCAGTTACAAATACTAAAAACAAAACACAAAGGAAAGGGGATTTTGAATACAGGTACAAATACTAAAACAAAACACATAAAGGGAAGGGGATTTTGAATGCAAGTAAGAACATAATCAAGAAATTAAAACATAAAGAAATTCAATAAATTAAAAGCAATAAACCTATAATTTTTACTCCACAAAACAAATTTAGTTCTGAAATTAATTTTAATCTAATTTGTGAATTTAAATTAAAGAACATGCATCTCTAATTTGAATTCTTTGAATGATCGTTGAACATATGTCTCTGATCGATTCAATATAGTTTTTCTCAATCTAATCTCAAAAGTTCAAACTATACAAATGAATGTTTCAAAATTGCATGAATAATGAATTCAACATGTGTAAATTATTTGGAATCATATCAACGTGACCCGAGATCGAATTAAAAATATTTGTGATAAAATTGAGAAGATAAAAAATAAAATTTTGAATTGGATTGAAATAGAAAATGTTACTTCATTGCTTTGCAGAATCAAATTTATAGATAGGTCTACGAAATTACTTCTTCATCATAATTGTAAACACAAATGCATATTTAAAGGCAATTATCATGAAAAGGATAAAACAAATTTGAAAAAAAGGAAGAGAAGAAATAAGAAAGAACACAAATTGACTCAAAATTCAAAATTGACAAAAAACAAAAAATGAAAGAAAGTCAAAAGATCTCTTATTCCTCTCACTCCTCTTTCCTTTATAGAGATTAACCTTAAACTAAATCAAAGCTAATAAGTTTAGAAAGTTAAATGGATCACAAAGTCTAAATAAGTCCAAATCCTAATTGCAAATTACTAATGGACACTTATAGCATGTTTGATTTTAAAATAGAAATCAAACATACTCTTAATTCTTATAATTCCCGTAACATCAAAGGATCTACTTTAAATGTTTGTAACTTTTAGCATAGGACTCTAAATCTGGCAAATGAGGTATCAAATTGAAGTTCTTTGAATTAACTTTTTAAGAAAATAAGAATTACTAAAAAATTTCACCTACATAAAAAAATTATGACTAAAATAATAAATAAATATAAAAAATAGATAAAATTACTAATTAAAATCCAAATAAGTCTAAGAAAATAAAAATAGTCCTAAAATAGTAAAGTAATAAAAAAAAATAACATCAAAAAATAGTGGTAAAGATACTAATGTGTTAATATAATATGATTCATCAAATACATAATAATATAATATAAGAATACATAAGATAAAAAAATTGCTTTCAATTTTGAATTTAAAATTTAAAATATAAAGTTAACAATGTTTAAAAATTATTAATTTTTAAAAATTTAATTTAAATACATTAAAAGTGTAAAAAAATATATTATCATCTGATCATAGATTATTTTACTATTAACTTTTGTAATAATTAATATAAAAATTATGATCACAACATATTCTAATTAGTTGACAACTTGAAGACATATTGATTAATAGTACATTAAAATTAAACTCTATTTTTTATTATTAGAATTATTATTAAATAAAAGTATCGGTTACAATAAAAGTTCAATGCTTTTAGTGAATGGCAAATGATAGCAATTAATTAGCTTTAAAATATTTCGTACAATAGTTGCATAACTGATTTGGTGGAATTAAAACAATCACTTATTTATCCCTAATTTGAGAGAAATTGTAGCATGAAGTGTTAGCAAGAAAAAGTTAATGTCAAATAATATTTGCATTCATATATAAGAAGATAGTAAAAATCATGGTCTGATTGAGCATGAGTGAATTTCAGATCTGTAGTTTAGGTTTTGTGTTCTCAAATCTCTTTTGTTAATGATTAGAAAGATTTCTTGCATGCAGAAAATTGTTACCATATATTCACCGTAATATATATATATATATATATATATATATATATATATATATATATATATGAAGTTAAAAGCTAAAGATTCTTTTGTCTCTTTTAACTATTTGTCATTTTTATTACAACTTTCAGCCTTAGCTATATTTAATTTTGAGATAAAACTTCGTATTTTTATAACATTTTGAATTCATTGCTATAAAGAGAGGGAGACCGAGAAAATTAGATTAAAGAAAAGAAAAATCCATTAGACTCGAAATTTGCAAGAACAGTTTAAGTAAAAGATTAATATAAGTGCAATTTTAGCGATTATTTTTTTGTCATGCGATTTCAACAAGAAAATAAAAAAAGTAAATGTCCACAACGAGGCTAAGATTGTATGAGAATGTTGAGCAGGCCCTTTTTTAAGACTAAGCAATTGTTTTTTAAATATGTTAGTGGGCATTGTTTGATAAAGAGAAGGTACTTTGGTAATTATTGATGTCATTCTCTACCCTTTACTAGTCTAACGGCTACCTTAATGTTACTGCCAATGATCTGTATCATCGTATGCGGCCGAAGGAAACTATCAGGGTAGCAACTATGCTTGAAAAATTATCGCATCTGTTGGCATGGGAAGATATTCATTTGTATCTGTTCATAGGTCTTCCTTTATTTCATTTTAATTGCTTGAAACAATGAAGATAACCAAGTAACAAATTCTAAGAGGTTTAACTTCTATACATTATTCATTATTCTAGTTTGCATTTGATAGCATATTGCATACCAACAATTGACCACAAGGGATGGTAGGAGTCACACCATATTCCCTTTAGGTCAATCAATCATGTACAAATCACCAAACCAATATCAGGCTTAGGTAAGATAAATTATGGATCACATGTATTTGAAATGTACTATTGCAGCATAACTATCAACTTTGATCATAACTACTCTAAATAATTCTGGACACTCTACTATTGCACCAAAGTACCTCGTTCTTCTGCGTTCTTCTATATAGAAATGGCTCACAGTGGTTTAAGTTGATGCTTACATTGTTGTTGAGACCAATAGGCATGAGCAGCCAAAACCCTGTCCAGAAGCTCCTGTGGAACAGGTTCTCCCCTCCTTTGCTGAGGGTAGATTCTTGCGGTGTGCACCAATGTCTTCCACTTATCCTGCAGCATTCCCATCGTCATGGAAGTTACCACAATACAAATACTGCAAACTTTCTGTGGTGCATTTATGTGCATGCGTGTGGAGGGACAATCCTAGCACTTTAAGAAGTTTTCTAACAGGGACAAGAGAAGCATAATACAAATCCATAAGAAATAATTAGGAAACTTGAAAAGAACTAGAGTAGACAATTTATCAATTATAGTACCTATTATCCAATGTTATGTACTATCTCTTCCACTATTTTTGTAGAAAACAACCTAAGCTTTTACGAAAGCAGCAAGGAGAAAAATACCATCAATCTATCATACAAATTATGAAATTTCAGCTTCTTGGGGCAGATTTCTCCCCAACAATCCATCGTCACATGAATCACTCATGACTCACCTTCAAATCAACATAGGTTCGATGCTTTGCATTGTCAAAAGCACGTTGTTTGACATCACGCCACCTGCAAGTCACCAGTAATATTTAATACTATAAAGTTTTTAGCTCTAATCATCGACCAAAGCATAAAAAGACAAACTCATAAAACAAACCTTCCAGTTCCAAGTTTTTCAACTGCCTGAACCAGTGCTTCTACTTCTAGGACAGAGAATGGCCTCCTGATTCGGCGCTGTGCGAAGTCAGGATTCCCAGACTTGCGCCTGAATGGAACCACAGCTAATGCCTCCATGTTAATGGTAGGAACTGCTACCAGAGCGCGACACTTTGACATGTTATTGTTAGCTGAAGTATCTGCTAGAGAGGAAACCACATTAAGATCACCCTCAGGACAACTTTCAATTTTGATCATAGAACGTTCTTGGGACACATTATATGTTCCTTGTTGTAACATCAAAGATGTTGATTGCCTGCATAATGAAGATGATAAAATTAGTAATTCTTTTATAGGATTGCCAAATACTAACACAATAATAAAAAAAGAAAAAGGTAATTCCAAGGATGCAAGGGCCGAGAAAGATAGATGTCAAATAAAAACAAGTTAAGGCTTGGTTGAAAGGTAACCTGGATAATTTTTGTCTTGAACCAGTGGTTAGAAAACAAGGGTCTTCATTGTATGAAGATGGAGAAATTGGAGTATGTCTAGGCTCCAACATGAACCCCAACCTATGACGTTTATCATCTTGAGATATCCCAGTCTGGATCAGAGTTTTGCTATCATCTCGTACTTTCTTTCCCTGAAGGAGAATGCCCACATGTAGTTCATCTCCTAGTATAGCTGTCACAGCCTCCATTACGGTCCTCTGCAAATAACAATGGTTATGTTAACATCGGCTCATAGGACTAACTTTAAGCATTTAAAGGTAAAAAGATCTTAGAAGAAAAAAAAGCATTTATTACATCAACAACACAAAAGCGTAATAAATGTTTTTTTAATAAGATCTTGTCATATTTAGCAGGGGAAAAGATACAATGGATGGCTTAAAATAATTATTGTACTTTATAAATCTATTTGCATTTGGTCTGGAGGCATGAGGACATATTAAAGGTGGTTTGGTGATAGGTTTAAAGCTCAGATTATGCCATAAAATTGTCCATATGCTTCAGTATCTTTTCTAGTTAGCCTCCATTGCTTCAGCCAAGTATGATGGGCTCAACAAAATTGCTCATGAAATTATGCATAAAGTAAATCATGTGTCTCAGATAAAGTTTAATTACAATACCTTCAGTGAACCAATAGTTGCAGTTTCAGGTATATCAATAAAAAGCTCAGGGACTTTAAAGGATTTTATGCTAAGCTTCACTGCAAAGTACAGATGAAAACTGTGTCAGAAGTTTATAGAACGAGAAATTCAAACTCAGTTAGGATTAAATGCAGTTAATTTAATTCATTTCACATAATAAATTGTTACCATTACAACTCCTGGACCCAGGATGAACTTGTTGACCAGCTCCAGCTATAGAGGATGATTCTTCAATTGCTGCATGTAATAAATTGGATCATTCAACTAAAACTAAACACAAGCCTAAAAGCAAACATACATTACAAAGAAAAACAAAGTAGGCAACCAGGCATTGTTGCACCTGTGCCATGGTTTGTGCCATTAACTTTTGTGTCAGAAGAATCAAATATGCCTTGACACTGAGAACCCCTATCAGACGCCGATGATGAGGTCTGATTGAAGAACTTCCTCTTCTTAAATGGATACATCCTTTGGGAATTTTCAAGTGCAGAATTGCCCCTACTATTGTTCTCATCTATGACAACACAGCAATTCATGAAATTGTCGATAGTTATACAGAATGTGCATAATTTTGAAAGTAATTGACATAGAGATAACCTGTTTCACAATTAGGAGCTCAGCATACTAGTTGAAATATAATCTGAATTAAAATTCAACTGTCTAGTAAAGCTACATACCACTCATAAAAGGACTTGCATCCTTCAATTTTAACGTATCTGGTGGTGCACCAGATATCTTATTCTTGGTGTTCAGTTGAGTGTACTGAACAAAGTTTTCGTCATCATCTCTATTAACTAATTTCCTAGCAGTGGAACCATTGGGTGAAGAATCAAGATGCCGGCGGCCTTCCAGCGAAGTCTTTCCCACGTTATTTTCTGAACTGCAATCTTTAGATGCTCTTTGGCCTGTTTCAATTAACCCATCAGAGCTTCCTTTGATGTGGATGATTTTCTCATTTACACTTCTCCCTTTTATCCTTTCATCTTTCCTCTCAGGGACATTCTGTCCTTGGCCTTCAAGATGATGATTGCCAAGAAAAGATGAATCACCCATGACTCTGGTCAGAGAGTTTACATTATATAGCTGAGTGATGAATAGTTTCCAAAGCCATTAAGCTGATCATTGAATAAAAACATTCCATGCGTGTTTGGCAACATGTTAAAAAATCTATAAATGTGGATCTAATGCAGAAGCTACAACTAATAGCGTTGAAATAAACAAGGATCTATGCCAATTCAAACGTGAGTCCAAACATACCATTCATCATCAAGCAAATAACCATTTAACATGTACCTTTGGTTGTCATGTTTCCCTTGCAAACTAAGAACACAGGCAGAGGCAATTTCACTGCAAGTTCCATGCTCAAATAGGTCCCCCTTGAATGACCCTCCTTCATCCTCATGTTTGTCCTTTATGATAATACCAGCATATGCGTGAGGATCTTTCGCAGGGCTGACATTATCAGGAATTGAACTCTCATTCTCCTGCAAAAAGTTGCCAGCTACACTAGCCAAAATTTCAAATGCCTGAATCTGACTACTGTCAGGTTTCTTCCTGATTGTGCCCCTCCCCTAAACCATTTACTGAAATTATCAGCATGTTGAAACACTACACATAATACAAGAGAGCAGGGAATGTTTGGAAAAAGGTTGGAAAATGAAATGAAATCATTTGCTTACCCTAGCTGACCTTGAAGCTTTAGGAATGACAGGCACCTGATAGCCATTAAAACCATAGTTCAACCGCTTCTGCAACACCATATCTCAGACAATCATTCCTGTAAGAAAAAGTCATCAGATAAAATATTATCGCCTTCTTCAAGCTTTGCAGACTCCCAAGATCAGAACCTGTCATAATCAAATACCAGTCAATTGTTATGAATTAGATGAGATTGATGAGTCTCAAGATGTATCATTGTACCAAGCTGCGTGTGCAAAATGCCAAAATGTGTTTAGAGGTTTAATTCATTTAGTCTAAAACTAGTTCCATTGTTCCAATGCAAAGGCAAGAAAAATAAAAATAACACGTTTCTCACTGTGTCTAATTAGTATTCTTAATTGCGAAAGTCTACAGACAAGAAATTCACAGCATTTGGTAAAATCCAGAAAATACTTTTATGAAGTCACCAGGATAATTGGAATAAAAGGATACAATGAACCATTTAAAGGAAGACGAAATAGAGAGAAAATATCAAAAGTTTCACCAAAATTGAATGAATAAAAGCATGGCATTATATTCATGATAATAGCTCATTTGGGAAGGGGTTGATTCATAATGACATTAGCAAATGCCAGAATTTTGAAGCTCCCAGTGCAGATAAGTTTCTGCCCCTATAAATTAGTAATATCAAAAATATCAAAACAAAAAAGGTATTGGAACACTTACACGTAAGTGGACATTAGAAGAACACCACTTCACCCCATGTTGAGGTCGCCCTCTTGAAATTCAAGCAGATAAAATACCCTTCAATATTTGGAAAAATAAAATAAAATCAAACCGTTAGAAAAAGAACAAGAAGGGGAAAAACAAAAATTCAAATCCATGTTCGTTAATTTTCAAAAACAAATAAAAGCCAAAATTGCAACATAATGATTTTAATTATCCATGCACAATATATTGTACACAATTAAAGCTAACACCAACATCAGGCAAATAAAACACTGGACAACACCAGGAAAAGAAAAAAAAAAGATATGTACATCATTGGTTTACATAAGGTATTGGCCAAATGGAACTTCAGACCCCTTGTGACCCTTTTAAGGAGACAACACCTGACAAGTTAATAAATTTATTACCAGTATGCATGCATGAGAGAGAAAGTGAGAGAGATCAATTAAGAAAAAATAAAAAAGAAAAGAAAAAACAGTACAAGTAGGAAGATACATAAAATGAAATGAATCAAGCACTAGGAAATGAACCCAGAAAAGAATTGGAGAAGAAAGATATGCAATGCAAATTCCAGTACTAATAAGAGGGGGGAAAAAACCATAAATGATGAAACTGGTTCCATTGTAGGAGTAATGAACAAGAGTACAATAATAATACCCATCAAAACAGAAACCTTCTTGTTGTGTTGAATTATTTTTGCACCAAAATGAAAAACACTTTTTTTTTGGGGTGCTGTGTAACGAATTGTTCATGAAAGGGAATAAATAATTCTCACCTAGAGACTTGGGCTATTGTCTGATCAACAAAAACCCCCTGAAAACCACCGAACCCTGTGTTCTTAAACCCCTCACACCCCCAACTAACTGTTTGCAAACGTTTGACCACTCATATCCTAGGAAGCGACTAGCCGGTTACATCATGTCAGAAAACCGGTCATAGCCGGTTGTCTCAGCAAAACCACTTGGATTGGACCGGTTCCTTCGTTTGGGGTGATCCACTCACTCCTTTCTCCATGTCACTTCTTTGCTTCCCACGTGGAAGACTCTCCACTCATTTGGGTTCCATCTTATCTCATTCACATAAACAACACACAAATGATTGAATTAGTTCCAAAACTTGAGCCACTCCTTGTCCGAATTTGCCAACAATTCCTTAAAATTTTCAAACTCACCATTTACAAAGTAATTTAAATGACATTAATGACTTCTACTTTTTTTTTTATTTTTTATTGGCATTAAAAATTATGAGATTGTTTCTTTTGAGTTATGCCAGTTTAGCTAATGTTGGATTGAGAATGGGAAGTAATACCAGCATAACTTCATATAAGGGATCTAATTTTTCTTTCAACTTAATGTAAAGTCTAGATTTTATGAATTAACAAAAATCTAAAATGAAATTATGTATTTTTCTCTCCATTTATCGCTCATTTTCTTGTAAAGCATCACTGACATTGTTCACTGCAAATGTTTCAAATTTAAGTGTTTTTATTTTATTTAAATGCTTCGAATTTTTAAAAAATGGCGATTTGTGCTATTTATGCTTTTACACGAATGTAATAATGAAAGAAGCATAAGTTATAGAAGTTATTTTATTTTTATTCTATCGTTGATATAAGAAAGAAGCAACAAAACTAAACCCCTTAAACATCACCAAAAAGAAACAAATCACAAAAAAATAGAAAATAAATTTGAAAACAAAAAGGACTTTTCTCTCTTTTAGGGTTGTAATACTGAAGATTTGGTGTCAGAAAAGGGTAATAATTTAAGGGGGGAAAGGGATATAAAATAAGAGGAATTTAAGGTAAAACTTTATTAGATGAAAGTAATATATCTACGAAAATAATTTTTTTAGTGAGAGACATTATGTGGTCTTATGAACTTGCTTTAACATTTAATTAATTTTTGTTTGATTTTATTTGCCAAATCTTTCCTACTTTTGAAAGGGTAAGGCATTATTCTCCCTCTTCAAATGTTAGATTCATTAATTAAAGAAAGATTCTTACAGTAAAGAGAATGGGAAACATTTTATTAATCAAATAAGGATTAAAAAGTCCAAAAATTTCTTTCAAAAATAGTTGTCAATAAAAAGAAAAGGACCTAAGACAAAGGTGAGAAAGAGAAACTGTGATAAAGCATTGTGTGGTGAGACATGAGTAAAGGAAAGTGAGGGAAAGAAAGAAGATTATGATAGTGAGATTCGGAGAGTGACCAGTCTCAGCCTAATGCTATGTAACTGTACTTTGTAACAAACTATTAATTTATGACTTGAAAATCAAAAGAGAGTGTTTCCATTTCAAGTTTTATTGTTAAGTTGACACTTTCTAATTTGCCAAATAATTGCCTTCATTTATGGCTCGCCACCACCAAAAACATTGGTGCTCCACTTTCTTTGCCTAAGTACACTTTGGTCCATTCTTCTCTCTTTCCTCTGTCAACTTCTATGCACTTTTCTTTTGCTTAAATGCAATTTTGTAGCTTATCTATTCATTCTTTTTAATAAAAAGTACTTGGTGGACATTTTTCAAAGACCACAAATAAAAAAAAAATAACTTATTAGTACGGAAAGGTACGTATATTTACTTGTAAATAAACGTACGTGCAAGCGAATAAGCGATGCAATGCCCCTTGTAAAGCGTTTGATCACTTTAGCTTGTTTCTCATATTTAATTTAAAACGTGTCTATACATCTTTTATTTCTTTGCATTGTAGAAGCATAAACACATCCAAAGATTATTTTGCTACGCAGAAGCATGTAATTAAATAGGAATTTAACAAATAATCTGCATAATCAAGAAAATTATCAAAAGCTTTTATTTGTATAATATCAACAATCAAGTTCATTACTAGGATGACACTTGTCCACTTTATTAAACTTGATTAAAAACTAAATTTTTGAAAATATTATTAATCAATAAAATGAATTATATGTAGATTTGTGCGTTAAAATATTTATATAACCTTTATTATTATTATTATTATTATTCAACCTGACGGCATACATTTTTTCTGCAATAATTTCCTGTCTACAGTTACATAATATTTGATAAATTATTTTAAGAAATTCCTAAAATATAACTTATGATTAAAATTAAGAAAAGGGGAAGGATCAATACACACAAATGTAATTTTAGAAAAACTGTTAATGTTCTAATGGCTTAATCCCCTTTACCATCAAGTTAATATTTCAATTAATTACTAGAAATTTCGTAAGAAAACTTATACTTTCATAAAGCTTTATATGTTGAACATAAAAGCCTATACATAAATGAATTAGTAACACAGGAAAATATATATTAAATTGTTATTATATATAAATAAATTAAGCAGATAAAATTTTAAAGCTGTTATGTAAAAAATTGAGAGAGAATTTTTTTAAAGCGTGTAAATTAACAATTAATTTTTACAATATTAAATATAAATGAAACATGCAAAGTTTGTTAATTAAATGTCTCTTAAAAGTCCAATCATTTATAGTACTATATTATATTTACTGTTTTCATTAATTAAAATTAGAATTTTATTTAACAAAAAAATTACATTTAATACTATTACAAATTACTGTGATAAAAATCTAATTTTAATTAATAAACAATAACAAAAGTACCTAAATTTTGTTCTTATACTACTTGGAAGACACATGTAAAATTTATTATAGAGATGAACAGAAGTAACGAAGTGAAAGCAAAAGTTAAGAAACTGCTATAGTGGAGTAAACATGTGATACCTCTACAAATACAAGTGAGGAAGAAGTGTCACAAGGAGCAAGGATGATAACTATTGATTCCCTACTAACATTTATCTTTGTAAAGTGGACTAATGAACTAATATGGCTACAAACAATTAACCAAATACTACAATAAAAAGAAACACAACCCCAAAAATCCAAAACCAAATTTCAAGCATTCGAATCAAGATACATTACAAACTTAATAACAAAATGACCGTTTAAAAAAAAAATAGAAAGAATTCCAGAAGGACGCTTATTATTATTCAGCATCTAAATTATCATACTGCCAAGGGCTGAACTCTGGTCTGTTATCAGGATCCTGAATGGACTGAGAACTATCCACAGCAGCACGATGTGTAGTATATTTACCATTGTATTGGTAAACTTCTAAGTCACCCCAAGGTGTAGCAGTTACTTCATCTGTTAGATCAAACCATCTAGGAGTGAACTTATGGCCCTTGGCTTCTCGGTTTCTCTTTTCAGCTCTTTGCCTCTCTTCCATCCTGAAAAACAAATTTAAGCACACATGGTTAAGAATTGAGATTTCCCAGGTGATGCTTATAACGAACAATCAAAATTTTATCTTAAAAGTCCTATTTTTAAGCGTACAAAAGTAAAAATGCATTTATTAACTTTTGCATTTTTATATGAAATAAATACATCCTGCTTTTGAATACTTAAAATTATCCCTTTGGGCTTATATTAACATGTTTCAAACTTTAGACCTTCATTTGTTACCTGCTCTTCTCATAGCCGGACGTGGATAGGTCACCCTTCTCAAGGGCCATTCTGTCGGGACGTAGACGAGAATCAGAAGCCAACAACTTGTTGGGAGCAGTGTCAAAGCTGTTAATCTTGTGTGCAAAATGTGTGTACTGGAATTTGTCCTTTGGAGGCACATCGGCTACTCTCCATACCTGTGCAGAATGGAACAACTTAATTCACAGAAAATAATTCATGTTGCTGGAAGCCCAGAACCAAAAAAAGTGGTGACAACTCGATTAAAACGAAATCATACAAACACTATCATCTTGCTTGAAATTTGCAGTGAAGGATGAGAAGCTAATGACTCTAAAGTGATGACAGTTATTAAAATATACTAAAAAAAAAAACAAAACAGTTTAAAAGCTCCTTAAAGACACTTTGTGTTGTATGGAGTTACAATCGACTAAAGTCAGAATTACTAGATGCAGTCCAACCATGAGAACCAAACCGCTAGCAATGATTAAAACAAACAAAACTATAAAGTATAAATCTTATTAAGATGATACGCTTTCCAACACAAAATTACATATATGTAACTAATTTCTACTACAACTTTAGGAAGAATATCTACAGAATAAATAAAGTTGCATGCTACATAGTATCTTTATAATTAATAAAATGTCGTGTAACTATGACAAAAGCAAAATAGCAAACCTCTTTGAGCTCAGTGCCCGGAAGTGGTTCTCCCTCTAAGTCACAAACTTGATAACCCATAGCCTCATTCCATTTTCCAGTCATCAGTATCTTAGGCTCGTCAGCAGCATTGTACACATATCCATCTACTTCATATCGACCAGCTCTGCAAATGCAAATATCTTTTTAAGATAGACGATACTTAAAAGATATAACAGCAGCACTGAAGAGGCTATGAGATGAAAGTCTACGTACTAAGCAAGAAGTCATAATTAGCAGATACACATTTTGTTTATGTTAGAGAAACAATAATAAAACCATTTCTAGCATTTTAGAGAGTTTAGTCCTAGACATTGGCAAGATCTCAATCCTTGTAGGTACTCATGACAACTAAATTAAAAGTTAGCATGAAGATATAAGGGTTTGTGAATTGTCCAGGCTTGATGACCAAGGGATATAATCAGCATGCTCTTGGATCCTTTAAAAAAGTTTATGCTACTACAGTATGAAATCCACTACACAGATTGTAGGTTACAAGAGAACATTTGGTGGCAGGAGAAATTAACAGTACTTCAGAAGAAAGAAGTCATTACCCAAACCAGCCACATGGTTGAAAATAAAGCACCACTTTGTCCCCTGTAGTAAGATTTGTCACGATCATCTCCCCTGGTGAATCAATCCAAGTTCGTCCAAAAATCAAGTTGCTAACTTTAGTAGGCGGAGGCACCAAATCAAGGACCACACCATCTCTTTTCAGGGTAACACGTGTTCTGCATTCAAGTAACAGCACGTTACATATGCATACGACTTATAAGGCAAATTGCTCACTAAACAAATTAAATATTGGTGATTGATGAAAAAATATGGCACATCCTAACCACATGATATGAAGTTTAAATCCATGCCAGGGGTGGGGGGAGGTCATAAATCCCAATTCATTTGACAAGATATCTGACAAAAACTTTTCTGCATTTTATTTCTCTTAAGTAAATGAAACCGAAAACAATCCTGAGACTTGAGATGAAATTGAATGGGATTTTCCAATTTTGAGAAAAAATGAAGAGCCGTGGAAATAGGTAGAATAATAATACCTTCCAACAGGATATACATCAACTGTGTTGCCAAGAAATTTGGTTTTCAATTTTGATGTTATGTCATAAGTGAAATGCTCATTGTCAGCATGCCCAGCACTCATGGGAGGGTGATGACTGACCTATAGAAATTTGTTTTCACAGCTAACCACAAGTCAGAATCATACTTAATATAGAAGCATCATAAAATAAAATTACTTGAAATTCAAGAATATTTCTGGTATAATATGGATATCAAGAGAAGGCAAAGGAGAGAAAAAAAAATACAAAGACATAAAACAAGGCACAGAAACTTTGTTGATTCAGCATTTTGTTTAAAGAACTAACAGAAAAATAAACACAACCCAGAACGCACCTGCTCTGCTATAAATGTTATGTCGCCATGGTTAACCATTTCATAAGTCTCACCAAGGATTGGATTGAATGGCTTCCACGTTCGTTGGAAAGCATAGTAGACAGATATAAAGAATGATGCTGCAAAAATCATCCGTGAAGTCATATTCTGTGCAATACATGTTCAAATGAAAGGGTACAAAAGTAATGCTTACAAGCATATACAAGTCTCATGTATGGATCCTCAGCCTTGTCTGCCATATCTAACAAGTGAGAATACTCCATAAGCTGTGAAATTAAAATTATATTACAACCAATGAGATTCAACAGACAGAATTTAATAGCAAAAGCAGACGTGTCAAAGTACACATGTGAAATAATACAGACCTCAGCCATTTTCTGCAGCATTGTCATTGGCTCAAAAATGATGACTGGAAGTGTCACCATTGATGTGATATCAGAGCCAACATACTTTTGCATCATTTTCCAGTAACTATCCCGTTCCTGTAAAGTACAAAGGAATAGTTGAGGAATAACATGCCAAAATAATACAACATTATAACCATGAAGGGAAAAAATATCTCCAAAGTCCATCATGAGATAAATGCAAAATTTTAATCCTGGTAATCAAAGATACCATTGGCTTACAACCTTACATCACATAATATCTGTAGACCACATGGCATGACTTAGCAAGTAGGTTGCCTTAGCATGCCAATCAGACATGATAGGTTGACTAAGTATAATGTGGAAAATATCAACTTTCAATATGAAATATGAACATTCTCATCTCTTTTAACAAAAATGAAAAGAAGTAAATTCTGTCTATGAATCTAGATTGTTTCAATCAATGCAGTGGTATAAAATCCCCATGCAACAGATTTGCTTTGACTCAGATGACACTTTCATCCCCTTTTGGTCTTCATATTTTGTTTAGACAACCATGAGTGAAAGCCTACTGACTGATCACTTCTTTTTCACTGAAACATACAAATACAAAACAAAGATGGTGATTAGTATACCTCTTCTTTCCATCGTCCCTTTCTGGCTTCCTCTTCAGCGTCTTCAGTTCCTCCTTCTGGATTAATAACCTCCAGCCCCTCATAGCCCACCAAACTGAGTAACAACATCAGAAATTGCCAACAAAAATAAACTCATCAGCTCATAAAACTAAATCATCAAAAGCTTCAAGAAATAAATCAAATGATTACAATAAGCCATATTTCCAGTGATGGTGAAACTGAAAAATGAACATGAAATCACAATTATCTCAACAAGATCAGAATACAGTCAAGAAGCTCTTACATCAAACCATGCATCTGTAAGTATGAAACAACCATAAGCTAACACACACCAGTAAAGATGATATAGCATAGCATATCCAACAAAGAAACAAAACCAGTTTACAACGATGATCATGCTAAGCAAGCCTCTCTTGCATCTAGCAGTGTTAAGAAAATTGGCAAAAGGGGCAAATCGATGATCTCGAGACACCCCACATAAAAGAATTACGGAAAAACAACATCAAAACAGATAAATTTAACAACTTTCAAATTTCAGAGTCCAAAAGATACATACCCATTAACGGATTTGGACATGGCACTGCCAAAATTGGACAAACTTGAAGCAATAGAAGCAAAAAAACCACCACCTCCACCACCAGAAGCAGCAGCAGCAGCAGCTTCTTGCTTGGGATCCTTTGGAGCCATGGCAATGAAATCAACCAAAGGCGGAAACCCAATAGAGAAAAGAGAAGCTTTTTGAAAATTTTGCAGCACACCCGATCTAATGAGGCAAATGGGTACACTAAAATATGAGTTTAATTTTTTATTATAAAGGCTAAGATGAATAATGAATTATATTATAATATATAGAGAACAGCGAAGAAAATAGCGATTTTGGTTGGCGGTTCCTGAGTTTGAAAAGTCCAACGAGATTGAATGGAAAATGGGAAAGTGGTGTGATATTTCTTCGTTGAGGTCATCACTCAAGACAAATCGAAAGAAGGGTTTGTGCTGCACGCGCTTGTAGAGAACGTGGGGTGAGAGGTTGAGTTTAGTTCAGAGAATCAAAATTGGCGGCTTTTCTACGAACAACAAGTGCTGTTGTGGCGTTGGAATGACAGGCTTGCCTTGCCGGCTGCTTTGTGTCATCATGTTATCTCTATGATATAATACATAGCAAGTGCTTTTTCATTGTCGCAGATGTATGTATCATTGCTATGAAAATATATTATTATAATAAAATAATCGTAATAATAATTGATGGCATAAAAAGTTATGAAATGAAAATATATAACTAATCTTATTTATTTAAAATAATAAAATTTAATTAAAAATATTGATTATATATTAGAGATACAAAAATATAATAAATTTTAATTTTTAATAAATATTTACTATCAATTGTTTAAATTTAGATACGATGAATAATGTTAATATTTCGTATTTAAATAGTATCTTCATCGTAGCATGAAATTTATATTTTTAATTTGATTTTTATACATAATTTTTTTTATAAATAAATTCTTAAATAAAAAAAAATTTAAAAATTATTTCTTTTTGCTATTCAAAAAGGTTAGAAGCTAAAAACAAAGTTAAAACTTTATTTTAAGAGTCTAAATACTTATAAAATTAAGACAAAAGAAATGGTATAGTGAAGGAAGGACAATCTCAATATAATTTGAGGAAAAAAAAACTTTTTAGGCTTAATTTAACTAAATAGGTAGTGATAAATTCAAATAATTTTTGTATAAATTTGAGCACTTATTTACTTCAATATATTGAATTTACATTTTAGTTTCCTTTTAATTTAGAAGAATTTAATTTAAGCAATTTATTTGGCTTAGAGATTGAGATGACGATTCTTATTAATCCTTTTTTGTTAAATTTTTTTATTTATAAGAGTTTAATGAAAATGATTCTTGTCAGATTTGTGATTTATTATTGAGTAATCTATAATGTTTTATACTTGTTAAATGTCAATTGAAGGATTATTTGATATTGGAATAGATTTACATAGAGTTTGAAATTATTTAAAAAAAAAAAAGTGAACAACACCGTACAAACAGTGTCAGATGAACAGTAAAACTGCCTATAAACAGTGCAAACCGCGTACAAATCATGTATGAACAGTAAAAATCGCGTATGTACAGTGACTGCTGACGTCATCAACGACATCATCCTGACGTCACATACACATACAGTACGTGTGCACAGTATTTCTAGCGTGAATAGTATCTTGAACAGTGTTTCTGACGTGAACAGTAAGGCGGTGAACAGTAAATTTCAAAAATTTTCTATAAAAATGGGGCTTCACACGAAATTTTCATTTCTTTACTCATATCCAAGATTCTCAAAGGTTCTAAGGCCATATACTGCCATTTTCTCCCATAATAAACCCTCCTAAACTTAGATTTCTCGCCAGATCAGAGATTCTACGTCTATTCTGAGGGATTTGAAGTAAGTTTCTTTAAGTTTAAAGCTAGATTTACCGTTCATTTCTCTTCTCCTTCTCTTTCTCATAGAAGTTCATGGTGTTCTTAGGAGAAACTCCGTTTTAAAGCCAAATCTTCGGTGAATCTTGTTATAAAACAAGTAATATTCGGTAGATCTAGTGTGAATCATCGTTCTGAGGTAAGGGGAGTTTACTTTAACCTATAAACTATGTTTTGAACGGTTTAATATGCTATTTCAAGATGTTTTGATATGATTTTGTTAGATCTATTGAATAAAAGCTATTTTCTAAGCTGTAACTGCTGTTAATTGATTTAAAATGCTGAGATTTTGACTGATCTGTTATAAACTTGCCTTAGTTGAGCTGTTAAAATAAATTTGGCGGTGTGCATCATGCTGAGGTATATGTTTTGCATCATTATATAGCCAAGTTACATGTTTAGGTAGGTAGACGTGTAACGGTAAGTTCATGCTGAGCTGTTGTGCTGTGTTGTCTGGATCCAGATACCGGAATTGGTCGCTCCCGGACCGGCTCGGTTCCTTCTGGATTACTTAGGCTGTGAAACCAGTTGGAAACCGTTTTCATGCTGTGCATTAGATGAGCTGGAAATGCATGGAGTTATTGTTGTGAGAAATATTTTGCTCTCTCTATATATATATGATTTTATTTTATGTTTAGTAAGCTCACCCTTGCATTTCTTTATATGTCGTTGTGTGTGTACTACGATGATCGTACTGTGGTACGTGAGCAGATGTAGCAGGTGTTGCATCTACTTCACAGGCTGAGGGGCCAGTGGAGAAATGTTAGAAGCTGAAGTTGAGTAATCTTGCATTAAAGTCTCTTTTTCTTTATATTTTGAGACTTCATGTAGAGGGAGCTATGTAGTATAATTTTTGGTATTTTGAATATTATGAACTAAATGTAATATTATGTTGTTCTGTTGGATATTTGTTGTAAGGAACTTTATTTTACTTTGAATGAGAAGTGAATTTTATACTTATATTCTCTATTATTTACCTATTTTAAATAAGTATGTGGTGTAGAAATAATGTTCTCGGTTCCTTATAAAAGGGGTCGTGACAGTTCTGATCCTTTTTCACTCAAGCAAGAATTAAGAATAGAGAAAAGTAGACTTGGGTCTCTGTCTTATATTTGCTCAAACGAGAACTTCTCGTTTGAGTGATAATAGTTTTCTAACTTAAACAAAAATTCATTTACTCTACTTTTAAAGAAAGAAAAAAAAAAAAAAAAGAGATCATAGAGTGGGAAATCAGAGCAGAGAAGACAAAGCTAGGGTAAAAAGTATTGGACATCAATTCTCATATCTTTTCTCTCTTTCTTTTGTTGTAATGGCTATTATGGGTAACTAAACTCCTTCTAGGGTTGGATATAATTTTTTACTCTGAAATATTTTGATAATTTATATAGACATTGGTGGTTTCATTTTGTGCTTAATGATGATTCTATTTTAGATAATAGAATTTTGATTTAGGATCCAAGGTTTAGCTAGAAAATAAATCTTAGAACTAGATTGAATGAAACTCGATGAATTGTTTATGTTACAGATATGTGTTAATATATTGACTGCTTCTTAACTCTTGTATTTAATTCTGGAGGATTTATTGAATAGTCGAGAAATCATTATTTAATGAATACTCTTAGGAACTTTGTATTTGAGAAATCAATATAAGAAAACTTTAAGAGAATGTATATACATCTATAAATTAATTTCTAAATATTTATTCGTCAATGTCGCAACTAAAGGTCGCAACGGGATGACAAAAACTTTTAAAAAAAAATCTTTTAGGAATAAAATTGTTTCTTAAAAAATAAAAAAAATCACCACTAAAATTTATTAAAGAAAAACTTTGAAAAAACTTTTAGAATATTATGATCTTTGAAACTAAAAATAAGTTCGGGAGTCATTTACATGTAGAGAAGGTATTAACATAATTGTGCAAATTTATTTAATTTTAAAAAATATTTATTTAATCCCTAAACAATAAGTGTCACTATTTTTATTTTTAAAGAAAAAATTATTTACTAAAATATCAATTAGTATCTTAGGAAAGAGAATAATTATTTTAACTTGACGAGTTCGGTTCCTGCTCCTATATATTCTCAAATGCAATGAGAAACTTAAAGACACAGTTCTATCATAAAAATTATAAAGTTGGTTGAATAAAATTAAGTTTAGCAAATAAAAGATTATTTTGAGATTTAAATTACTAGATTATAACATTAAGAGTAATAAATAATACAGAAGATAAAGGTAGATCACACAGTTATATTATAAATTATTAAAAAAATTATTTTAGATGAAATATTTGAATTTAAAAGTTTGTATTGAAAAAAAAATTTAAGATAACATAAACTATATATAAATCTCTTATAATATTAAATAATTAAAGACAATGAAAATTACACATCATTATATATAAAAAAAGTCTAAAATAGTTTTAAGTGATTAAATAATTAATTATTTGAATGAGAAAATTATATCTTAATGATTAAATTAATTGTTTAAATCATAAAAATATTTATAAAATATAAATTATATTGTAGTTATTTAATAAAATTAAATGTTTTACGAATAAAAATTTAAAAATAAACAAATTAGCATGAGACTTAACACATAGGATATTCCAAATTTAGACACATAAAGGTAGAGATGTTATACATTAGCATTATAAATCGTTGCATTAATATGATTTTAACTTGATTAATAATTTAGTAAATTAATTGTTGGATAATTAAGAGATGAAGTATCTGAATTACTATTTTCATTGATTGACAACATAATTGGTTTTTATATCCTTTTGAATAATAAGTTCTACTACAAAAAGAATACTCCATAAGTCAGGGACAAGTAAGGAGCTAGAATTCTACAAAATCTAGAAATAAAATGTCCTTTAGCATCCCAGATCAGATAACCATCTATTAGGGAGACAGCATCATTCACATTAAGCTTCCATTGATTAGTCGGAGGAAGCATCTATTTTATGCGAACTTGATCATTCACCAACCTTGATAAAGATGAAACATCATCCCTGTAGCAACACAAAAAAAAATTTAAAATCAAACAAAATATTTTGAACAAGCATTATAAGTTAGACAGAAGAATTATTAAAAATAAAATCATCCTATCCTTCCATAAATGCCAAACAATAACTCCAAATAATCTATTCCAATGAAAAATTTACTGAAGTTCTAATTAAAAAGGTTTATTAGCAACTAATTTGAGATACCTCTACTAAAAAAAGGGACCCATTGTTGAGAGAAAATAAAGAAATTCTAAGTCTAAGAGATCTAACTATTTTATCATCTTCTAATACAAGATTTATATCTTTATATGCAAGAACTTTATCTTTATATGTTATACACATAGGAGAGTTAGAATTAGAAAGCACTTGATTAGCAAGTGGATTAGATCTTCTTGCATGTATGAGATTGACACTTCCATGAGAGATGTGACATTTATT